CTGGACCAGGCTGCCCAGAGAGGTTGTGGAGTCTCCTTCTCTGGAGACATTCAAAACCCACCTGGACATGTTCCTGTGTGACCCAGTCTAGGTGATCCTGCTCTGGCAGGGGGGTTGGACTGGATGATGTTTCAAGGTCCCTTCCAACTTCTAAGATTCTGTGAATCTGTGATTCTGTGGTAGTATGAGGAAGGTCTCTTCGATACCTCTTGCATAACTTTATTTTATCCTGGCAAGGTCCAAGTGACAGAGAAAGTGGTAATTAAATTGTGAGTTCTTCAGCACAGGGTCAGAAGAAGTATCATTGTTCACTTTCTGGACTCTCAGGTGGAAGAAACTGATAGTCTTTTATGGTTCATTGCCTTTACTTGGCAAAATATGTAAATTTACCAACCAACAAGCAAAAACTAGATTAATAAACCCCGAGAGTGTAAATCAGATTGCCTTCAAAAACTCAAGGAAGGAAACACAAAACACGGAGGACTCTATTTATTGGGTACATTGTGTTAATCTTACCCTAAGTCGTCTGGCAGAGCATTCAGTGTCATATGATGCTGTAGTAATGTGTTTTGTCTGGCGTCATATGCTGTCTTTTCACTGCCCTTCTTTTTCCCAAGGGACAGTGAATCCCATTAGGGGAAACGTTTTGCCTTTCCTTGTACTTTGCAACAGCATAGACCACGACAGCCTTGCGACTTTGGAGCGGAGCCCAACCCAACTTCTGGGATTCCCAAGCTTCTGTTAGAATGTAGGCTCACAGTGAATTTCTCAAACACACCAGTTGAGGTAGATGGGTTGCCTTTGGGAAAGCAACGCACCTTCTTTCCAGTTCTCCAGGACTCTCTTTAAATAGAAATAAAATCCTTAAAATGAAGACAAGTTTTCTTCTAGCAAAGAAAGACTCATTCTTTTTTAGAAAACCTGCAGCTTTGATTAGTTCTGGATGCTAATGAAAATACAGGCCAATCTCCGTTTAAGTTTTACTGGGACTAGGGTTATCTTTTGAAATGTGTGGACTCCTTAGCAAGACGTTTCTCACATCAGGCTTATTTTTCTGCCCATAATGTCAGTTGAGTTGCAATTTCCACTGCTTTTCTTCTTCCTAGACTGCATGATTTGCACTGTGAAGCCTTTTTTCTTTCTGCAGAATAGGAAACAGGTCATCATCCCATGCATTATCCATAAAATATTTTCATTTCCAGTCTATGGGATGTCACAGGATCTCACATGATGGTAATACAAAGGACCTGTTTGCATGCCCACATCCTTTTGGTGCTCAGGCAGATGTTCATGGTATGTGAGGGTCTCAGTGCTTTGGTCTTGTTTTGCCAATTGACGAGGTCAATGGAAAGGACACAGACACCAATAAAAAAGTAGGCTTATTTTACTTTCTGTTTCAAGGTAATACAAAAATAAGGTAATGCATTTAGTCAGAAAGAGAAGCTTCTTATACTCAAGGTTAAGCAGCGGAGAGAATAAGCAGGGTAATGCACCTAATCATTATTACATAAAGGTAGTTATAGTGATTAAGAAAGATACATCACCAATTACCCTAATAATACGTTACTGTCATCCAGATCCGCAGTTGCTGGGGATCCCTGGTTGTAGTGATGGTTTGAAGAACCTGTCCCTGCAATTGAGAGGTCCTGTGCAGTGCGCCCACTCATAGGTGAAGTCTCCAGAGTTGCTGCAAGAGGGTCCAGCTTTTATACAGTTGAAAAAATAAAAATTTTGAAAAACTCAAATGTGGAAACATCTGGTTTCACCCCCACCTGTTGGATGCCACCCAAAGCCTGACCAGGGCTCAAGGAGGAACCCAAAGGAGTTTCTCTGTTAATTTTGATTTTGATCATATATTTCTCAACAAAGCCAGAAGTCTGGTTTCACAACCTTGTAGTATGCTTTAAAAAAGATCTTTCTGCTGGTTACTGTTTTAAGCAGCAAGTGTTAGATCTGGTGATTATGGTCACACTGTCTGCTGATGGCTGTCACACAAAAAGCGTTATATCTGCTGATTATTGTTACACAATAAGCATTACAACAAAGCGTTACAGATTGGCATCAATATATATATATTCACAATTCATCAATATATATATATTCACATTGAAATAGCAAAATAGAGATAAATACTACATTGCATGTGTGATCGATACTGTGCATATTAGATACATTGTTAGGTTGTGAGATTCATCTAGAGGTCAACTTTGGTTCAGGGCCTGTTGTTCAGGCCTCAGTACTTCAAATGGTCTGCTATGATTGTTGCTCTTCTCTTAATTTCTCTTTTTCTGTTTATGTAACATCATGAAGTACAGCCTCTCTTTCCTCAATTTTCTTATTGTCACAGTTCGTCAATAGAACTGAAACTACTTTGGTATAGGGAGAAAATAAGTTTAACAAGTGATTGTTAACAACATAAGAGAAAGACAAGGGCAGTCTGATCTCCCCTCAGTGTAAGTGAAGGGAGCTCCCTGCCACCATTAAAGTTGGTCCTTTTGCTGTTGTGAAATCCATGAGGTAGGGAAGTGTGTCCTGGAAAACTATCACACTGTAATGCAGCTTTATTTACTGTACCTTCAGAATGACTTCCTTCTTTGATGAACAAGGCTTCATTTCCTCTGTGTAAAACTCAACTTTTTCTCCTCCAGCCCTGTCCCACAAAGTACCATTAAAATGATGGGCAAGGTTTTAAGGAGCACTTATGCTGTGCAGATGCTCTAACTAGATCTGAGTGTTAATTGCAATAGGTTAGCAATCACTGCTGACTCAGACATCGGTGCTTGATCTCTAAACAATCAAAGCGATGGAAGAATCCACTCTGATACTTTTTTCTGTCTTGCTTTTTCAACAGTTACATCGCAAACCAGCGAAGATTAGAAAGCATCAATGACAATGAAGTTGGATTTTATGTTGGACTTAAAAATCTGTGAGTATATGAGATCCATATTTTATAAAGCTATTTTTAAAAAAATTCTTTTATAGAAATGCGTAGAGACCTCATCAGAGTGTCAGCCTAGCTTTGTGTGTTATAGAGGACAGTTGTAGATCTTGAGGTTCAGCCTTGTTAAGATTTCATCCATGCCCTTATTTTAATCAGTATTACGATTATGCTTTCCATTGTTTTTTAAATTAAATGTTTCAATAGTTTTATGTATTTTCACAGGACCGTAGTGGATTCAGGCTTAAGATTTGTGTCCCGTCATGCATTTGTGAAAAATGTCAATCTACAATACATGTGAGTAAGGATAGCATCTACTTTCTAAGTCAAGACTACCATACTCATGTTAATTTATTTTATTGTTAATTTATTTGTCTCTTTTACTATTTCCTTCATATAAGATGTTTTAACAAGACAGACTTAAAATGGTCTTCTGTCATTAATTGACCCTGAATAAGATATGTATGGTAAGGAACTGACAGAACGTAAGAACATAATGTGGGATGGCAAAAAAGACCATCCAGTTCATTATCCTGTCTCTAACAATGCACTCTGGCTGTGCATTTTGTGGTAAGTAGTGTAGCACAAATTCCTCCTTTCTCAGCTGAGTGAGTTGGTGCCAAGGGTATGATGTTCACACTATACATCATGCCCAGTGACAAGGGTTTGACTAGCTCTAGTGTGATTCAGTGGGCTGAACAGGTTTTAGCAGCTGCAGTGCAGTAGATGCATGCATGAAGCACATCTCACGTGATCTGACCTGTGTGCGTGCCCAGAGACTGTGGCAAGACTGTGGCTTGAGTCGTGCAGATGATCAGAAGATTCCCTTTGGAAGCTCACTCAGGATCTGAACTGATGCACCCAAAGAAGAATATAAGAATGTGGTTACTTTCACACCCAAGTGCAGTTTGTGGTTCATGGGCTTCAGGAAGCAGAGTTGGTGCCTGTGCAGGTGTTTGACTGTGTTTTTCTGGATTACCTGCACTTCAGATTTAGCAAAGGTTGAACTGATCAAAATTCTTTATAAAGGTGCAGAGAAAAATGATCGGCTAAAATGGAAGACTTTGTTTCTTTTTAGTACATGTCCCGAAAGGACTGTAGTGCCTTTTGGTGGAACAGACATGGAGTAGCTTACTTTGCTACTTAGATAGGAAACAGTGGATCTAGACCTACAAAACACTGAGATCATGTGAAGGGTTCAATTCCTCACAAGTACCCTCTTTTAGCCAAATATGTGTTTTCATTCTATCCATCTTTGTTAGATATACTTAGCACTTCACTCCTTGCTTTTGTTAAAGTCCTAATAAGATCAGGAAGACAAAAGGCCAAGCCTTGGGCTTGTAAGATACTTCTTTGCAATATGGAAGAACTGTTGAAATGAGCACAGGACTGATTGCTTTGCTAATGAAATGGAATCACTTTCTGCACCTGTGTTTTTCAAAGAATGGCAATTATTTCATGTAAGGAAGTGGACATTAATGTCCATGTCTGCCTAAACAGTAACTGCTGTCCTTGATGTACAACAGTCACTGGAGCAGTGTAAACCAGATCTTGTCAGCCTGTGAGGCTTTCATATACTTCGTATAGTCATTAATAAATTAAACAGTTTTTACTGTAATCAGTTGGTGATATAAAGGAAATATCTTCTAGATTGAATTTGTATGTTAACCTGTGTAACAATTGCTCAATGAATTATAGTTGTAAAAGATGAAATTCCATAAAGCAAAGTGCATATGCTTTATGGGGTCATATTTGCAGTGAAAGATTTAGTGGCTGTACTGGGACACAATCTCAGCATAATGTGGCAGAACAAAGCAAATTCAGTCTGTGATCAAAAGGGATTTTGCGTTAGATTTTTACATCTTTTCCCATTACCTTAGCTGCTAGGAAGGCATCTATCAGAATACTGTATACAGATAAAGACACTGAATCTACGCATCTTGAAGAATACTACAGAGAAGAGCAACAGAGCTATAAGGAGCTTGTAAAGCAAATAATTTAAAGAAACTCAGAGGCTGAGAATGTTCAGTCCAATAAAGAGAAGATTGAAAGGAGTATATATTTCTTTATATTTGAAAGAAGAGCAATTATGATGAGGAAGGCAATTGGTTATCTCCATGACCATGAGTACAGATTTAGAAATAATGTGTTTAATTTGGAGCAATGTAAACAGAGGTTTGGAAGACCTTCCCAGCTGTATGGGCGAATAGACACTGCAAAAGGTAACTAAGACAATTGTTGGAATCCTCTTGATAGTTTTTTTTTGCCAGATTCCTTAGGGAAATGGGATTAATGTGGTCACAAATTGTCTGTGTCCCCAGTGGTTACCTCTAACCAAAACTTATACAAGTGACCATTGGACAGAACAGGGAGACCATATTGAGAGTTTCCACTTAAGGGAAAAGTATAATTGTGCATATATGACCTGCACTACAGAATCCACATGAACAAGTTGTCTTTAAAATACTTCAGCCACAGGAAGAGCTTCAGGTGGAGCACAGAGTCAAATGTGGAATATGTATCTGTTGGTAAGCAGGCTTTACTAGATCTGTGGTTCATGAAGCTGCTTGTTAAAAACAAATTAAGCTGACTGACATCTGTTTGGTTGATGTACATGGAGTTGTGACCCAGAATACTTAAGTTATGAACCAGAAGCTTATTCAGTCTCGTACTGTGTTTTCTTTTGGTGGGAATTTAGTAATGTTAACATAACACAGAATAAGCCTGGATAAGATGGAAAATATTAAGTGGCACCACCTGCTCTGTATGCACATGACAAAACAGTAAGTATGGAGACATTTTTGCTGAGGCAGATCTATTATCTCTGCAAAAAATGCATTTGTGTGTTTTCTCTGGGAAGTCTTGGTGCACACTAAAATATTTCTGAAAGCCCCAGTTGAATCACTGCTGCTTGTCATCAGTAATAAGACTCCTGTTGACTGCGCTGGGAATGAAGTACAGCCCCTGTTGTGTTTGGGACAGTGAAAACTATTAAGAGCTGAAATAATTTCACTTTGCAAGAGTAACCTCTGAGAGAGATCTTTGAGAAGTCTTGCATTTTATTTTGAAACAACACTTTGTTACTATCCCATAAAGAAAATAAAAACTCCAAACACTTTTCTGAAGACTGATGTAACTGTATAAGCTTTAATTTTGCTAGTCATACAAAAATACTTTGATGTAGTTATTATATGAACGTAGTAGTTATTTTATGAATCATGTAAGAGTATCAGATTATAAGGAACTTATTAACACATATTTCCTTGAGCCCTTTTTTGTCATTACCTAATATTCTTATGAAAACTTCTGTAGCCCAGATATCTTTCTAGAGTTATGTGTGATGAGAAGATTTGAGTAATAACATAAACAACAGGAAAATAAATGCTATAACGGGTATTACTTAAATGCAATTAATAGCCTTGCTTATCTAATTCTGGTATTCTCATTGACCTTTGACTCAAATGAAACAACAGTTGGATTTAATGAGCTATTAAACAGCCTTAGTTTAGTAGTGCTGTAATTTATAAGCTTATCTACTGCTAACAGTAATTTTAATGGACCTGTGTAATATACATGCATGGTGTGCTGTGGATACCTTTAAACATAAAAATACATTTCACAGCTAGTGTGTATTTCCAGTAAGTTAAAAAATAGCTATTCTTGCCAGTCTGTGTATAATTGTGTTGCTGAACCATAGGTTTGTGAGTGTAGTTTACATACAGCTCCAGGTATTAGGATGTGCTTGTATCTCCACACTGTTCAGGTTTAGGTAAGGCAGCGAAATTATGCCACTTGAGACCTTGCTCAGATTTTGTCCTTGCTTGCATGCAGAGCTGGCTCCAGCTGTAGGCAGAGCAGGCATTTGCCTGTGGAGGGAGACTGAGTGTAGCAAAATGACCATTTCTTCACTTCTTCCCCCCAGTTCTCCTTCAGTCTTTTCCCTCTTCCTCGCCTCCTCTTGCTAGGAGTGTTGTAGGCAGCAGAGCTATGCCTGTGTTGCTAGCTATGTGAATATTTATGTGACTATTTATGCAGCTTCTCAGGCTGCTTTTGCAGTCCTCACATTGCCACAGGTTTGCTTTTAGCTGAATTAGGGCTAGTTTAATATGAACTTGATATTTGTATGTAAAATACGGGCACACATTTGACTGAATGTGGTTTTTTCTCCTTAGTTATAGCTTTGAAGCCAGTCTGTGTACTCCAAGCTGCGCTTTTTTTTTTTTAAATGAAAAAAAAGGCTTTAGTACCCTAGTTGGGTCTTCTTTGGGCTGCCGACCATGATTTTTTTGTGTATAGTTGAATTGGGGAACTAATTTATATTCTCTTTCCATGGAAGTGGAATTGTGGTCCTAAACTACTCCATAAGAAACCTGGTAGTGTGTTTTTTCACTTAACATGAATTAAAAAGACTGCAACAAGCATCTCTATAACCAATACAAAGTGCTCAGTTTATGAAAATTGCATGAAACATTAAATTTATGGTCAAATTGGTTCAATATGCTTCAATTTATGGTCATCTAAGATGATGAATCTGTAACAGTAATCTGAAAAATTTCTATTAAATTCGTTGTCAACTTGGAAATCTTTAAAGTGCTAAACTACATGGGAGAAAAGGTTACAGTCTTGGAAGCATTAGAAGTTTCAACACATGATCAAGAATATAGCACAGGATTTTTTAATTTCTTTTTGTACCATTTTTATTTCCTTTTCTTGGTGTGAATCAAGCAGAACTGGTAAAAATCTGAAAAGACAAAGCTATCAAGATACTTTTGATTTTTCAAAACTGCAGTTGTTAAAAACAAAATAATGACTCTTTATTCTTCTCATAGTTTTACTTAAATTGTCAGATTTTTTTTGCTCTCTCATGTGGGATCATTCATACCTGCACAAAGTTTTCAGAAAGTAATGTATCTGGTGACATTTAGGCAGGAAGTCTGGCTCATGAATCTAAACAGGTAAGGGCTATTCTTCTGCCTCAAGGTTTGCAATAATCCTCCTCTACCAGGGAGAGATTATGGAGTGGTTCATCTTAAGTGTGCTCACACAGCATGTGCAGGAGCACCAGGGGATCAGGCCCAGTCAGCGCAGGTTCTTGAAAGGCAGACCTTATTGCCCTCTACAACTACCTGAAAGGAGGCTGTAGTGAAGTGTGTGTTGGTCTCTTCTTCCAAGTAACTAGTGATAGGATGAGATGAAATGGCCTCTTGTTGCGCCAGGGGAGTTTTAGACTGGATATTAGGAAAATTTTTTTCTTTATTGAAAAGAGTGGTCAAACATTGGAACAGGCTGCCCAGGGTGGAGTGACCATCCCAGGAGGGGTTCAAGAAGCACATGGATGTGGCACTTGAGGACATGGTTTAGTGGGCATGGGGGTGTTGGGTTGATGATGGGACTTGATGATCTTAGAGGTCTTTTCCACTCTTAATGATTCTGTGATTCTATGAAAAGCAATGACTGGCCTGAGGCTGAATGACAAGAAGATTTAGCTTTGACAGCACGTAATTCTCACAATCTGCTGCCTGATAGAGTTCATAGCTCTGAAGCAGGCAGCTCAGCAACTCATGAAGAGATGAGATGAGTTAGATGACCAAGAGTATGTTGAGCAAGGAAACATGCAAACAGCCAGAAGGAAATCTTTAGGAAAGATGGGACTTCAGTCCTGCCTGTGGGGTAGGTGGGTTGTTATGTCCATGCTGGGTAGCTAGCAGTAAACACTCTCCCAGAACCAGTCTGTATGTATTTAAGATATTATTGAAAATTTTATTTTTAAGGTGTTATTTTCTTAAAAGAAAAAAGAGAAATACTATCTCAAAGGATGACTGGGGCTCTTATGTATGATATTTGTGGCCTATTTTCAGATTTGTATTGTGATACTTTAGCATTTAGAAGATATTGGTGGTAAAGGGTTTCAAAACCCCTTCGTTTTGCCTTAGTCTGGAATGGAAGCTTGAACCTGGCTCTCCCATTAGGGTGCCAGGGAAGATGACACAAAATGGTATGTCTTCATCTGGATAGAGATTTCTCTGATGATGATGGCATCGTATGGTTAGGAAGTTCTTATATCGGAGAGCAAGGTCCTCTATTGTGTGGAAGCCAGGAGTCAAAGCTGGTCATCACACAACCTGCAGTATGTTGCCTCCCACTAGAGTAGTGAGTGGCATGGGCACCTGTCTTCAGGTAAAGCCCACTGTATATATCGTTCTTTTGGGAAAGGTGGGATTTACTTTTTGTGCAGGTAAGAGAAGCAGGTGCATGCCGTGTTTCATAATACCACAGGGGCATCTGCATGTGCTGCTTGCCTGTGTCAGAACTGGAGGGGTTCTGCACAGTGAGTGAAGAGTTGCCCACGGAGAGATGTGGCTTGATGTACTTCACACTGCCTTGGTGCTGGGGACAAAGCCTATCTATATGAGGATTCAGCTTCTTTCAGCCTCCCAACATACGGCTTATACATATTAGGAAAAAAATAGTAGTGGCAGTTTTTACTTAAGCGTAACTTCTGTCCTACATGCAAATTGTACTGTAATCTTGATGTATCTGATCAGGGTCCATGAGGTATTTCCACCAGCATCTTTCATAGGGCAGGCTGGTTCACCTGACTAATTAAAGAGTAGTTCAACTGTTTTGTTCTCACACATTAGGACTAATCTGTTTATAAGCTTCAGGCTGTTGACAGAAGGAATCAATGAGGAAATATAATACATAAAATCTCTTAAAGATTCTGTTCTAAACATTTGTAGAAGTTCCAAAATATAATTTCTCTGAGAATTATCTTGTACTCAGAGATCAAGGACTGAAAGCTTAGGAAGTAAACATGGTGTTCCTTAGTCAGGGGTAAAAAAAAAGGTTTCAATTGTTGGTTTTAAGAATGCAATGCAACTTTAACTGTGAAGCCCCTATGGCACCTTTATAGTACCGTATAAAACTCATGTGGTATTTTGGCTCATAACACTGATTTGCACTGTATTGCTGGCAGTTACTCAGTTTATAGCTCTTGCTGTCTTTAACTGGTGGACTGATAAGGCTGTAGAAAACCAGCATTTCTTTGTTTTGGTGTAGAGAAAGCAGTTTTGTAAGCCTGGGAGGAGAGAACTATTTCTGATTCAGATGGACATTTCTTTGCTCTGTTTAATGGGAGAGGACCTTTCACTTAATTACCACTGGAAACCTTAAATGCTTAATTGTCATAAAAAGCCCAATATAGGCATTTTACAGTTTTCCTTTTGATCTTCCATGTGGGTGCATAGGGTACATGCAATTTGAAAAGAGTAACTGAAAGGCTCTAATGTGAATGTGTCCTAGCATGTGAGGAGGGCTTATGTGAGTACAAAGTTTGGTGCAGCATCAAAGAAAGAGATGTACCCATTTCACTTATGAATAAATTGAGCATGTAATTAACACCTGGACTTTACAAAATACTTTTGAAACACAGTTAAATCTGCTTCTTTTCTGCAGTGAATGGAAGTGCTAAAAGTGAAAATATTGACCCCTGCTGAGTTTGGTTTTGAATTTATTTGTCTTTAGATGCAGACTGGATTCAAACCCTTGAAACTCATCAAGCCATAAAACGAGCCTGAGCACCATTTCTTTTCAACTGAAGTCAAAGGAATAATGGCTTTTTAGAGCTGATTTGAGTTCTTAATTTTTAAAAAAAAAACAACAACTGTATTTTCAGTGTAAGAAGCAGCAATTCTAATTAATGCAATCTTTCTCTTTTCCTATAGCAATCTATCCAGAAACAAACTCTCAAGTTTGTCCAAGAAGCCTTTTCGCCATCTTGGTTTGTCTGATCTGTAAGTTGTTGTTTCTTAAAATAAAGTTTATTTTTACTGGAATGGAAGAACAATACTTTGAAGTTTGTTATGTTGAAGGTAGAGTTCCATCAATGATTAGGAGTGAAATTCTGATCCAAAGAAAGCAGCAATGCTGGACACTTAAATACAGAGAGATTTTCATTTCAGGGTTTCAAGAAGGTCAAGTGTATGTTTTACAACAATGTAAAGGTCACAACTGCCTCCTCCCTTCAGCTTTAAAATGTGTTATTGTGAGATTACTTCACACAAAACTACTAATCTTTGTATTAAATATTCAAGCTGGTGAAAATACAGCCTGCTACTGTACTTCAAAGGAAGACTCTCATATTCTTGGATTGGCCCCCCAGATGCTATGCTTATGGTTGACTGTTGAAGAGTATTTTTATTTTCTCAAATTCTTTGAGTTGCATTGTGCTTTATATAATCATTTCGTAATGCAGCACTATATTTGTTGGTTGTTTCACTATTATGTTTTCATCCTCTGATCTAGCAAGCAGAATTTCTGCACTGGTATAGATGCTAAAATTTTGGTCATTTTGTGCATTCTTTGATAATGTGTGGGACTGCAGAGAGCCTGCAGGAGCTTTGGAAGGGCTGAGGCTGCAGAGGAGAGGGAGATTGCTCTCCCAGAGCTCAGGGCAGAGTCAGAAGTTGTCTAAAATGCCAGTCCAAGAACTGTAACACCAGCCTTGCAATCCTCAATGTTGTCTGTTGGACTTCAGCATGTGAGAAGTAAAGTGAGCATATCCTAGTGTCACAGAAAGAGGTTATGCCCCTTAGTTGGTAATTAAGTTGGTATAATCACCTTCTTTACAGCCCAGGGAACATAGCTCACTGGAATTTTCTTTCGTAACTTGGCGGTCACTGAGCACTCTGATGGAGACACAAGTTAGTTGCAGAGCACTCCCAGCGCTGTATGCCCTCTATAGGTCTGTTGATTGTGAAGGCCTTGTTTCTTCATATGCTGCACCTAGTCTCTGCCAAAAAGCCATTGTTAGCTTGGCTGTAGGTTCTATGTTTTGTAGTCGTCATGACCTTAAAAAAATAGATACAGGACTCAGGCTGGTGCCTGAAGCTTGGGCATCTCCTAGTTTTTTCTAAGCAGTTAGTGGAGAAACTGAGTCAGTTTTGAGGAGGGTACAAGATTGAGGTAGAGTGTTATGCACCTATCAAAGAGTTACAGCATAGAGATAGAGGAACTAAAGTTCCACAAACAGAGATTGCGATGAACTGAGATAAACGGATGTAGGTTTTTTTTTAGTGTGAGGGAGAGTGAGTGAGGGAAGCAGAGCCTGAAGGGAAGAAAACCAGTGATAAGATTAGTGTCAGTTGAACAATTCTATTGATAAATGGCTAAAACAGGTGGAAAATGAGAAAGAGGAGAGAAAGAAGAGTATTAGAAGGGGAATCTGAGAAGAGAATGATGCTATAAATAGCTTCTGAGGTGATTCCTCTAAATCTGAGAAACAAGTGTCCTGTTGTTTGCAACTCTTGTAAATCAAAACATAAAGGGATGGAAATCTCAGGATAGGGTGAATCAGGAGATACTCACTAGGTATTGTTGAGGAGGAGATACCACTTCGAAAAATTGCTAGCTGCAGCTGTAAAATTACAGCAACTAGATAAAGACATGTAATTTACTTCCACTAGGTCAGATTCTTTCTTACACACAAGTGTATGTAGAGGGCCATCATGCCTCTGTCTATCATCCTACCTATGATGTGCCTAACTCCCTTGATAGGTTTAACACAAAATAAAACAGGGAAAGAAAGGAACTGCTCAGCCACTGGTCAAGGGAAATTTCTCTTTTACAGTGAAGTTATACGATGAAACAGATGATGGGAAGTAAATCTTGCTGTTTTGAAAATGCATGTTGTAGGTTTTGACCCAAGGGATCCTAATGTTCATACTCTTGTCTTGCACAAGCAATTCTTGTCCAGGCTGTGGTGGTGTTGAAGTCCAGCAGATGACTTCTGTGAATACAAATTGCTCCTTCAGAGACTTGCGAAAATGATCTCTGCAGCTGTTAATCATCAAAGAACTGCAGATGGCTTTTGGGGAAACAAGTTATAGCTCTGATAAGCTGAGGCTTTCATGATTTGCACACTTCATGTCCTCAGGAGGCATTTATGAGCCTAGAGTCTGTGAGCAACTTGAGCTTAGTTTCTGTACATCAAAAATACCCATGAAGTTTTGTTAAGGACAATTGTTCTTGTAGTGAAATGCCTTAAAACAGTCACTTGCACGTGCTTTATTTGATGGGGTCTATACCTACAGTAGAAAAAAATAACCATGGGTCACTTCTTACACTGATACTGCGATATTTCTGTTTGTATTTTACTTGAGCGCTATTGAATTACATTGTTGTGTAGTTTTATTAAATATTAAAAGTAGAGTTTGGTAAGTTTGCTAACCTGTGGTTTAAACTCCATGCAGCATACCATATAACTAGATGATACATTTCTGTTTCAGGGACATTTTTTCAGTTAATGTTTCTCAGTGACACTACCTAGAGTTTTACTGTGAGATTTTCTAAAGTACTGTAGTGGATGAATTTTGAATGTTAGGTAAAAACCTTTTCTGTGGTTAGAGTTTGTTAGAGCTTGCCTGTAATCCACAACTGTTTGACTCTATAGAGAATTTACCGTCTCACAGCGGTAAACCATTTTTGGTCATGATCTTTCTGAGCTAAGTGAGCAGAGATTCAGGTGTAGAAGAGAGGAATTCTGATCTCTGCTTGACTCTCATGAGATAGAATGGAGCTTGATGGAAAGGCCAGTTGTCTGGATTTACACCAGTGAATTGGAGACAGTAATTGAGCTCCCTTTGTGAGCTGTCTGATGCAGGACAGTCTGGATCTTGGTACAAAGAGAGCTTCATTTTCTACATGAAAACCATTATCCACTTGCAGCTTGCGTTGCACTGAAGTTACTAAAGTTGCATGCCATGTCCTTCTTAAGGGTTCAACTTCTACTTTCACCCAGCTGAGTGATTGGAGTCCCTCTACGCCCTTTTTTCTTCCTATGTGCATGACACATTCTTCATTCTAAATTAATTGTGTTTTTTGCTATAGGATATTGGTGGACAATCCGTTCAAGTGTTCCTGTGAAATTATGTGGATCAAGAAATTTCAAGAGACCAAGTTTTACACAGAAACTCAGGATTTATATTGCATAGATGACAACAACAAGAGGACAGCCTTGCTGGATATGAAGGTCCCAAACTGTGGTAATACTCTTTTGACATTAAATTACTGCTAAATTACTGTAAGACAGGAAAAACAAACATGTTTTTTTACAAAGTGCCTATCAGGATGACAACAGCACTGCTAAAGGAAAAGGTTTCCACATTAACCACTTAGTGGTCTTTCCCACATGGAATGATTCTGAGATCTTCACTTAAAGCTTTTTTTTTTTTTCTCCTTGATCCTATAAGAAGATACCATTATTCGAGTTCAGAAAAACAGAACACTGATTATAGACAACACACAAGAATTATATAAAATGCATATGCCTTTGTTAAGCTAAATAGTAGTGCTTCCAAGCTTAACAGACACAAAATCTTACCTCCTTGATTTTTTTTGGAGTATTTATGGTTAATGAAGTTGTTATTTTCCTTCAAAAGTACAAACTGTAGAGCTAGAACCGTGGGAAGAAAATTCAGAAGAACTGCCTGCTAACAGAAACAAGTTAGCAATAGCTCTGTTCATCACACATGTAAATCTCAGTAGTTGTAAAGGCTATGCGAAAGAGTCTTAACAAGCTTATATCTGAAGCATTCTGCATTCAGTTAGCTGAGTTTTGTTTTCAGTTAACTTATATGGATCTGAAGATAGTGGAAGAATGATGTAACAATACAGCCTTTTTTGTATAGAACTGTGCTGCCAATAGATGGTTCTGGGACAGCTGGTGAAAGGTTTCGCCCACTAGTTGAAGAGATTTCTCCTTCTCTGTGTATGAGGGGCAGAGCCTGGGTATTAGTGGCACATTGTGAGACCTGTGGAGTCTGGAGTTTCCTCTGCAGAGTGGGGATCTGTGGTGCCCAGCAGCAGGCAGGTAAGAAGGAAAGGGAGCAAGGAAATCCTTATGGAGGGTTGATTTGGATTGGGAAAGCTGTAAGTGACAGCAGATAGCAAAAGGAACACAAAGATGATACATTTTCTTCTTCCTCCTTTGCCCATTAAGTGTCCTTTTTTCAACTGCCTATGTGGAGGGTGGGACACCCTCTGATAGCAGCTGCCAGCAAGGAGCAGCCACAAAGGGGACCTGTTGCAGACTCCACTTGTGTGGTGTTTAATGGCAGTAATGCATTTTATGGCCATGTATCATACAGTTGGGTCTTGTGTCCAGCTTCCTGCTGCGGGCAGGCCATTCATGACAAAAATGTTGCTAGTGTCTGGTGCAATCAAGAGAAAAGCAGCCTGTTTAGGCAGTCTTGTGTCCTGCACAGTTGGCCTTGTGTGCTTCAGGATCTGATTTGCTTGAAGTAGGAGGTGTTACCAAGCTGAGCTAGACAGACCCAACCTTTTGCTCCAGCTGGATAGACTAGAAGGTAGATTAATCTTCTGTGTGTAGAAAGGTCTCCTGGTGGACTGAGATCAATTAGTACAAACCAGGAGCTCCAGTGTAGTCTTTTGTAACATGCTTGGCTGGCATATCTACTAGCTACCAGGTAGCTACAATTTTCCTTTGCAAACTTTTGTTGTTTAATACTCAGAATTAAACCTATGGGACATTATTTCTTTCTCCTGAGGTTTTGACCATTTGCAGTCACAACAGACTTGTCTCTGACCTTTTGATGCTGTGTAGGTGCACGTGTGTACACATATGAGCACTCTGTGGGCATATCTTGACTAAAATACTTGCCCTGGAAAGGAAACTACAAGGAAAGGTAGTACTTAAAATTAGAGGAGGAAGAGGAGGAGGAATGGTGAGTATATATGACATTCAGATTGGAATTTGCAGTATGTGGGATTTGCATATGGAAAATACACATTTTGCTGAAGATTTGTGTGGATGTCAGCACATGCCTGCAAATTATTTATGTTAGTTTACAGGGTCAAAATATGACTAATCTTCATATATTTTTTTCCCTTCTTTTTTTTCCCTTTTCTTTTAGTAGATCTTTCTACTTAATTTACTTTTTTCAAAATGAACCAATGTGGCATGTAGGTGTTTAATAGCAACGACAACACAGTCTTTTCCTAGGTACAGAACAGAGAATCCCAGGTAAAGAGGAATGACTATCTTGGTGAATGGGCTGTGTTCTGGAGAATGTCTCAAAGAGCCAGTGCGTGTCTCTTGTGTTCATTATCTCTGCAGATATTTTTCTGTGTTTAAAAAGACGAGACTTAATAAAAAAAAACTCTACTGATAAAACTGGCTTATTTTATTTCTGGAACTTTCTGAGAAGCTAATAGGTAGAACTGAAATAGAAAAAGAATTCAGCTTTTTGCGTATGTGAACTTTTCTTCTTGTTAGCTCTGTGATCTTTTTGGCTCCTTTTAATGTCAAGATAAATTTTTGGGTGTGCAGGTCTTTGAATTTTGTTAATGAAACGTTTTCTGATTTTCTCTGCTAATGAGTTATTTCATCCCATCTCTCTGGTTTGTTAGATTTTTTAAATTTAGAAACTAAGCAGACTTTCTCTCTTCTTTGTGTGCAGGTGTTATTAATTACTTCATGATATTATAGTAAGTGGCCTGCACAGTATGTGGCAAATGCCTTGGTAATAGCATGTCTCACTATTGTATGCTGTTAATAAATCTCTTGGTGGGAAGTTGGAAACGTCCACTGTGGTTTCTTGATCATAAGCTTTGGTTTGTAGATAACTGATGTGAAAATTAGCAAAGTTCTGTGGTACTTATTGTTTAGATGGTGGAAGTGTTCATTAATGTGCTCATTAAAGGCTGGTTGCAATTTAGATGCCATCAGCTTTGTGATTTCTTTTCTTGAGATTTTAAGTCAGGTATGCTCACTATCTAGAAGATCCTTTCTAGCTGCAATATTAAAAGTGTCAATCAATTGTTATGGTACTTGCAGAACTATTTTTTCAACTGCATTTGAAATGTATTTATGTACCATGAAAATTGTCAGATTCTTTTAAGTTTTAAATTCACACTTCATTACTATGTCAAAGGTTTTTAAGTTGTGTTTACAAAATAGAGCCTTTATTAGTAGAGCCTTATGTGTAGAGGAATGGTGGTGTTCAGTTTTGCCGTTTTCACAGCATTTTCTGTATGTGTGTACAACATGCACAGCATCACCACCTAGGCTATTCTGTTTTTCTTTGTTTACACCTGATAAATAGTATTAGAAAATCAAGAAAGAGAACTAAATAAGTAAACACTTCATTCTTATTGCTACTTCTTTAAGCTCTGGCAGCAATTGCCACTGGTGCATTAAGTCCTTGAAAGTGAGGCGTGTCCTATGCCTGGGGTAAGGTCACTCAAACATCTGTCAGTCTGCAGATCACCTGGAGCTCACTGAATGCCAAGGAGGCAAGACTATGTCTTTGGGGCTAGTTATTAAGGTGTTGGTTGCTCCCTCTGGTAGGCATTTAATTACTCAGCTGCTATTGTTGAATTCACTGATACCAAAAGAAGTCTTTTTTTCCTGTGGTATTTTTGGGAAAGGCTTGGCTTCTACAGCTGTCTCTGCAGTCCTGTGTGTATTTTTTTTGTGGCTCTGGATCTGAGTCTTATAATGGCATTCTGCTTTATCTAGCCAATTTAGTTAATCAGATTGATTTATAAATGCTGGCGTGGTGCTTGATCTGGCTTTCAGTTTTGCTTAGTGTCCCAGCCTTGTGTGCTTATTTATCATATATTGTTTCTGCAGGTATTTTCTTTCTTGTAATTAGTCACACCTGGTAGCTAAAATCTGCTGAACAAAGTGGCAAGTTAGTCTCGTATACTTGTTTATTTTATACATAAGAAATGTGTGTTCAGGCTGGCTGTTTACTTATGCAGCCAGTCAGTAGAAATATTGTCTGATCTGAGAACTATGGGTTTATATGAATGGTAGCATTTTTCTCCACTTGCACATGAAGTAGAATCATAGACTTACAGAATGGTTCAGGTTGGAAGGGACTTTAAAGATCATCCAGTCCTACCCTCCTGCCATGGGCAGGGACACCTCCCACCAGACCAGGTTGCCCAAAGCCCTGTCCAACCTGGCCTTGAACACTTTTAGGTAGGGGGCATCCACAACTTCCCTGGGCAACCTGTGCCAGTGTCTCACCATTCTCATAGTGAAGAATTTCTTCCTAATATCTAGTCTAAATCTACCCTCTTCCAGTTTAAAACCATTCTCCCTCCTTCTGGGTGGAGTCACCATCCCTGGAGGTATTTAAGGAGCGGGTAGATGAGGTACTTAAGGATATGGTTTAGTGGGTAAACAGAAACGGTTGGACATGATGATCTCAGAGGTCTTTTCCAGCCACGTGATTCTGTGATTCTGTGATTCTGTCATTTCCTGCCCTTGTAAAAAGTCCCTCCCCAGCTTTTCTGTAGGACTCCTTCAGGAACTGGAAGGCTGCAAAAATGTCCCCCTGGAGCCTTCTCTTCTCATAAGTCTTGTGCTCCAGACGCTTCACCAGATATGCTGTCCTTCTCTGAACATACTCCACCACCTCAAAGTCTTTCTTAGAATAATAGAATCATAAAATGGTTTGAGTTGGAAGGGACTGATAGCTGGGGACCCTAGAACTGGACGCAGTACTCCAGGTGGGGTCTCACGAGAGCAGAACCACTTTCCTCGCTCTACTGGCCACACTTCTTTTGATGCAGCCCAGGATGTGGTTGGCCTTCTGGGCTGCAAGCGCACATTGTCGGCTCATGTTGAGTTTTTCATCAATTTCTTTGAATTTACAGAAAAGATGTGTTGTACTAGTGAGTCAATAAAATAGACGTTAGATCTTAGGCAATCGCAGTACAATGCAGTCTAAAACCACAAGCTAAGGCATAATTTGGTGGGTGTTGACATTTTTTTTCATTATCAGCCAGACAGCACAGATAAGACTATCAGATGGAGAACTTTACAGGCAGAATGAAGTGACTTGAAAAAAAATCTTAAACATTTCTCCGTGCTTACCTTTCAGAGTATTCATGGGCTCTCTAGCCTGTGGTGGTTGTTTTGGCTCAGGAACTAGATGTTATGCATGATATATGATGATAAACTGTTCTTATTTTCTCTGTAAGAGTTTTAATTCTCATCTGTGATCATGAG